GCCCCCCCCCCCCAATTATCGATTCTCCGGCGCCTCTGGTCAAAACATGACGCCACCCCCCTCCCCCAATGTTGATGGCTTCACGACGCCCCTGGGCATTATACAAGTTGAAAGAAGCTGGATTATTTTAAGCTGGATTATTAAATAAAGCCCAATGGGCAATGCCAATGAAAGGTCTTTATAAGATTTATAATGTACCTGCTGTAAATTACTGTAACACATGAAATATGAAATAATTTACTATATTAAAAGAACAATACCACAGTCTGGTGCACGGAAACGCGGACGTGTCTTGGCGTTCGTGTGATATCAGATAACTATTTGCAGCATTCTGAGCTAGAGCACATTTTGTAAGAAATTTCAGGTCTTCAAAACATTAATTTAATGGGGCATTTTGTTATAAATCATATGCTAAGGTAGTTTAACTCTTTCTCGACAAGTCCCGCGCATGTCAACTTCTAGAAGCTGACGAATTTGTATGTTTATATCTTCGGTTCAGTGCATGCTATATGAAGACAATAATACCACCATTCGATTCAGTGAAACAATATCAATTAATTCCCCACTCAACTAATTCCCCGAGATCGTAATAATATAGACTAGCCATACCTTTCCCCGAACATAACTTCAGTCCCTTCAGACGTATCTTCTTTGTAATAGCTAGTCTTGTTCGAATCGCTATCAAAAACACTATTTAAAGTGTCATTTTTGAGCCTATATATCTTCAAATTTGCATCTTTATCACGGTATTTCCATTTCTGGTTCGACTGTGAGCTAACCCCAACCTCAAATGCAATTTCAATTTCAAAACGTCAAAACAATGTGACGTTTCTATCGTATGACTCTGGAAATGCCAGAAATCGATTCTAAAGGTAAAGGTGCATTATACGCGTCATTTTTTATGTCATCCGGCTACGGGAGCTCCTTATTTGCCAGGTATAGCGTGTGGCCCGCATGTTACATTCTTCAACATGAAAGCTAGCTGAAATTATTGGGGTGGCGTTCGCCGCCCCCCCCCCCCTGGCCCCTCCTAGTTTCCGCCAGTGAAGTTATGTATGTTTCCACAGGCAGTACAGCGAAGCGTGCTCAACTTCGCAAGCCAGGCGCGGCGCGCCTGGAGTCCTTTTCTTGCAAGTGAAATATGATCCAGCTTCTCGCATGAAATGTAACGCAAAACTTATTATTGATGACATTCAGTATAGCAGGAAGTCGGGTCATGATAAATACGAATTTAGAACAGTTTCTTTCACTATTTCTTGTTGGAAATTACATTTTATCACCCAAAACTATAACACGTAAACAGACGCAACAAACAGACTCCTCTACCACCCCTCCCTGAGATCAATATCAATTCGTCCTGCAAAATCTGCGTGACACGTAACCAGCTCCGACCAGGGTCTTTCGTCCACAAGAGGTTGAAATGCAGTTTGCTGAAGTAATATATAGCTCTCATAAATGATGCAAATATTAATATATAAATCTTTTCTTACATACCTGAATCCCAGTCTTGGTCAGTGTATCCTCCAAAAATACAATCATTGGCTTTCACCAAAACCACTGTCGGTCCTTTATTGTCACAATGTTTGTGAAAATCTGGGGCACTCCAACCATCTCTGGAAGCTCTGTAACAAAGATTCCATTTACACTTCTCTCCCAACCATTTCTGTAGTTGCTTGATGAAGGCAATCTCTCCTTTCAAAATACTGGATGACTTTTTTAGATTGTACATTGCAGAAACATCACCTACAGTAAACAACGAATTTTACGAAAGCCACAAAAGATCTTTACAAGATATCTGTTATGTAATCCTGGATAGCAGGTGTTTGTTATGTAATAGCAGATATTTGTTATGAAAAAGCAACTAAATTTAATGTAATATAAAAAGCGGTTTCCACAAATTAGGAATAAAACTAGAATAAACAACATTTTAATATCATACACAGCCATAGGCAGCTCTAAAACAATTAACCTTTTTATTCTACGTTTCGACTAACTTGCAGACATCGTCAGGAATGACGCTGCTGAAATTCAAATATTTACGTCGATTTTACTCGTATAAAGAAAGTTTTGGGCTCTGGGAAGTTAACAAGACTATTTGCCAATGCGTAATTGTCAATCCGCTATGTCACAATTCACCTTCTAGCGCCCTTTCTTCATTTTCATTTATTTTTACACTAATGCTGCGATCATATGTACAGAATATTGAAACAATCCCTTGGTCTGTGTAACGCCAGAGGATCTTACTCCTAGCGAGCAAATGTTGGGCAAGTAAGAGTAAATACCTAAATTTAATTAGCTGCACAGTTCCTACCATTTTTAAGTTAGATCCAGACCTGTCAAGTTTTGAAAAATTTTATGCGGGAAGGTAATTTCCTTAGGTTAGTGTCCATGGGGTGCCACCATGGTTAGCGCGCCCTGGGGGAAATTTTAGTTCGCCAGAAAATTGCCTTTCCGAGGTTTTTCTTCCGCCTTTTTCGAAGAAAAAACCTAATGTGTTCATGCTATAAAAATATGAAATGTTAGCGTCGCTTCTTCCCAAATGGCAAAAATAGCGCTCCTCAGGCTGAGTAGTCTCCCAGCTTTTTGTCTCTTTTTGATATGCGATTGATACACACATTCTCAAGACTTCTGGGTACTGGCGTGGGCAAAAAGAATGCATTGAACATTTGAACATTGTGCAATTAATGAAAAGAAATGGGAGGAAGAAACCTCGACAAGTTAAGTTTAAAAATGCGGTAAGAAATTAGTCACTTCACGCGTGATAGCAACCAAAAATGCGAGAATTTCACGGTAATGGCTGGAAACGTGCAAGGTCTGTACGTAGATCCAGCTTAAAAATCGACATAAAAAAATAAAAATTCCTGGCGGAAACGAATTCTTGTGTATCCTTAACATTCCTATTCTGTAAAGGAAAATATGCACTGACGATAATATTATATATAGAAGTTCAGATTTGACTTCCACTACCGCTACAACACTGCTTTTCACTGTCTTAGTGCGTATCCGATTGAATATATCAAACACATCTGATTAGTTAATCGTCCATTAGTGGTAGTGGAAATCAAATCTGAACCTGTACTGACGGTAATATACCGTAAATTGCGCATACCTTCCACATGTCCCAACTTATCAACAATTTCATCAACATTGATATTACCAATGTCGTCCGGTACATAGTGAATACTACCATCATTCACTGCGGCCAGATTCTCTGGTTGTTGATTGCTCAACTTCTCAATTTTCTCATCAATCAATTTCTGCGATGAGATAATTTCTTCGATACTTCCTCTCTTTAGGAGATTTTTTGGCAATGACACTGAAACTTGGACTTTATCAAGATAATCTTTCATTTCATCATGTTGTTTGCTCAGTTCACTGTGTAATTCACCATAAACTTGGTCCACGTCATCATTCATTTTCTTTGCTCTCTCGTCAAGTTTTTCTGCCACAATCTTCAAGATATTTTCCTTTTGTTCTTTGATTCGATCTTTAGCAGTTTTAGCATTTCTTTTAAGAGACTTCATCACCTCACAAACGTTGTTTAATGCTTTTTTCCCCTCAGCTAATTTCTCATCAAGTGTTGCGCAGCTTGATTGCAATGTTTCTCTTTGCTTCTGTGTGAGTTCACTCACTGCCACACACGAATGGTTTTGTTTTTGATGATTTAAAACCAAGCAATGTATACAGCAAAGTTCCTTGCATGTTTCGCAATAAAATTCAAGTATTTTGTCCTCATGTTTCATGCAATAAAGCTTGCTTCTCATTTTTACTTGACTTTCAGGATTGCCTAGCTCTTGTACAGATATTACATTATGATTTTTCAACCAAACATTGTGAGACTCTGAACATTTCTTACACATAAACTTTTCACATGATGCGCAGTGATTAATGGCAGGATCTTGGCAGTGGGAACATGCAGTAGATGTTTTTGCTTTTTGTTGAATCGCCATAATTTCCAGCATATTCTTGATGAAATAACTGCTTGGCAGTTCAGCAACATCTTGGTTTGATTTGAGAGTAAACTCTGAGCGACATGTGGGACATGGAAATGTCTCGATCTTCTTTTCAGCACCACGAAGACGTTCAACATACTTTCCTAAACAATGCATGCACAGACATAGAATACACTTAGTCTTAAAGCATGAATAAATATGTTTAAGAATACATTAAATGCAATAATTATAACAAAGACAGGTCAATTGTTGAGTAACTTTAATTAAGGTAAGCTCAGAATTAGGGAAGTCGCGGATCCGGATAATGGTGTCCGGTCAAAAATAGACATACAGCAGTATATCAGGCAAAATTTGGGCGGGTAATACTGGACGTTTTATTAATCGAAACCAAAAAAATGTTTTTGTGTGTTAAGACATTGTATAGAACAGGTCGAACAATTACTGCATGTGAAACATGCAAAAATGTCTTCGAGATGTACAGTAAACTGCTCTCTCTCTTCTAGATTACAGTACCTGCAGACCCTGTGTCACACATATTGATACTTACGCCCGTATTCTAAAAGCTCACTCACACTCACACTCAATGAGTGGAGATTCAATCTGAGCTTCTCTTGAGTGTCAATGCTGTTTTTGAATAGCTGGAGGGTTCGTGTCGTACCTTACTATGTGACTACTCACCCTCCACCTATTCAAACACAGCATTGACACTCAAGAGAAGCTCACATTGAACCTCCACTCATTGAGTGTGAGTGAGCTTTTAGAATACGGGCGTAACTGTTTGAACGATGAACTATATATACTGTATTATGGGAACAAAAAGTCAAGTACCACCATTAGTATCTGATTATTATTTTCCACTAACTGGTTTCTGGTAGACTATTATCCGGTATACAGCAAAACATTATCCGGCACATCCCTAGTCTGAATGGTACAGAATTTTCCAATTTTCCTACTCCCTAGCTACAGTACTGCCAAGAAATAACTTGTCCCCGCGTCTGCCCGCGTCCTGCCTCCAGAGCGCCCGCGTCCGGCCTCCACGACGCCCGCGTCTTGCGTCTACTCTGCCCGCGTCCTGCCTCCAAAGCGCCCGCGTCCGGCCTCTACTGAAAAACTGCGTCCGCTTGGACGCAGTCGTCGTAACATAATCGGAAAAACGAACTAATATTTGCATCATACTCGTAGTTTGCCGTGAGAATACAGATCAGTGTCACTGATCGGAGAAGCAAAGAATAAAAAGTTGAATCCAAAATAGAGTTTCATTGAACCTAAGCGTTACACTTAGTATAACCATTTTATAATGTTATACGTTTATACTACAGTAAGCGTAGTGCTTTCACAATGCAATCACACGTACTTGAGTGGCGATTGAAGCGTATATGACTGTATATTGGAGCGTAAAATAGACTATTTTATTAACTGTGAATAGACATAAACTATATATAAATATAATGTAGACACATATACTAAACTCAGTGAGATCACGACTACAACGAGTATATATCTCGCAACACATTCATTTGCTACTCAAATTCTGACTTACCTCGTAGAAGATTGCCGATTAGTTGATATGCAATTCTGTATTTGAATAATGTTATGTCTCCGTAACTCGTCAGTATATGATTAAAACGAAGATGCTCATTTACAATATATATACAGCAGTGCTTTTGATTTTTCATATAAAATACCATTACTACGAGCCACTATATAACTTTATTTACAGCAACAAGTTTGTGTTGTTTTTCCAAAGCAGTAAATGCACAAGCTGATATGTCATATAAATTGATAATTACCCATATAATTTCTGGATAGATGACTTCTCGATCTTAATCCCTTAATGGAATACCTTTACATGTCCAGGAAACAGTCTTTGTGTTTCAACACGGTTCAATGACTGTGACTCATCGCTTGATTTTCAAAGTTGCAGTATAATTCGCTAAAGCTGAAGTGAAGAGCTCAGACTAATATCACTCGATCCGTATTACTATCAGACTAATGAAATGAGGTATCGATCGCTTACTTGTCAACCAAAACGTATTTTGGGTTTCTTCGAAGAAGATATAAAACCATACGTGCATTTTGCCAACCGGCAACGTTAAAAGATTACTGGGTTTAAACCAAACGTTATACGAAGGTGCGAAAGTAGAGATCAAATACGAAAAGGAACTTTACGAAGCACAAATTCTGAAAATTCACGGTAAGTTTAATATTAGAAATATAAATATCTAGGATTCTAGGTCTGCAACGCTTGTGTATAAGCATAAAAACGTGGTGTGAAATCGCTAACATGAATATTTTCCGACGCCCACGGTTTGTTTATGAAAAGCGAAACGCGATAATTTCCGACGATCTACGAATAGAACTCTTTCTCAGCTGCGTCCTTGCCCGCAGACGCAAAGCGGACGCATGGCGCCCGCACAGTGGACGCACCCGCAAGCGCCCGCAGACGCACAGTGGACGCACGACGGACGCACGGCGCCCGCAGACGCACCCGCGGGCGCCCGTGGACGCAAGATACCCGCGTCTTGGACGCGGTTATTTCTTGGCAGTACTGTACAGTACCATCAGCACATTAAGGACCCACACAGCAATTTTATGAGTGGGGTGGGCTGGTTTTGAGATAAAGTAAGTTTGCAGCTATTGCTACAAAACTTCCTGACCGGTCTGAGGGCATGTATGCCCTCCCCCCCCCCCCAAAAAAAAAAGTTTGAAAATTACAAGCCTGGAAAGTGCAATTCTATCTATTTTATACAATAATTTTGTTTATAGTAACCATGTGTATTTTGCCTGATGATAGGCAGATATATTTTTGTGAAACACATGTCTATATATAACTGAAAAATTGGTGAAGAATCTTGCTGATGATTATCGTATTGTAAAAGAACAATTACATGAATATGTAACAGTCAAGTCGAGCGTTATTCTGTTTTGAAAATCACACAGGCAGGCTTAAAACTGCGACACTAGCAAACTAATTACAAAGCAAGGTTTATTATAAGGCAAGCATCACTTGCGGTGAAATGGCGGACTGTGATTGGCTGATAAGCACTTTTAGCGGTCCATTATTTTCCCGTCCATATAAACAAACAAACTCATGCATTTTAAAACAAAACAGCGAAACTAATTGAAATTATAATTTAATTTGTTATTAATAAGATATCTGTGAATGGTTTTTAGTGGAAAAGAAGAAATACATTGTATTTTTAGTTTTCTTCGACCAAATGTGTACCACGTTACTAATATATATGCATTTCAAATCATACATTTCTTGTTTGTTTCAAATATAAATGCCTATAAATGCCATATAATAAACTTTTTATTAACATCGCTTGCTTGGTATGTACAGAGAAATATTGGACCTTAGTCTTTTTGTACACTAACCTCGCCATACGGGCTCGGTCTGTACAAAAAAGACCTCGGTTCGATATTTCTCTGTACAGACCTCGCGTTCGGTTAATAATTAAGTTCACATTTCCGAGAACGGCAGGTTCGAAAATTCTTGGCAAAATTTTCGTTGAACGTTTTCGTTTCATACTTTCTTTCTTGCGTCGAAAGAATAATTATGAATTTCAGTTTTAAAACAGCAAGTTCATTAATCTTTATTGCCTAATACCGTGAATGTTTTCTTTGCCTCGCGTTTCGGCCGTTTGACGTATAACGCAAAGCTTAAACTCTCTAATTAATCTAGTATGGGAACGTGACAAGAAACAGCCTTAAATATTACACTAACTTTTAACATCATAAAGAACTACTGAGTACTGTTATTACTGAAGAATTTCAACAAGCAGGACGAAAGTGCAACAAGGACGGCTAATAATATAATTTTATATTAATACAATGATTATCTTTATGTGATGAAATTAAGTCAAGAAAATAAGCAGAAATTAACAATTAACATCTTGCTTTGCGGGGATGAGATGCGAGCCGGGATGGTCTTGATGTGTGCAAAAATAAACAATTAACATCCCACAGGAGTTTTAGACATCGCTGCCGCTCTGTTTACATGCTGCAACGGCAAATACAGATTATCATGTCTTGTATACAACGACTACATTTCAAACTTTTAAAAGTCAGCCCTCGAAAACGAGGTCGGCATATAATAATTCTTCAACCATGAGAACTTCTTGACAACATTTGAGTTCTTTGACTGGCATTTGAACTGCTGTTTAAATTAAACCTTGTGATTTATTGCAACACATCAGAAGCCCCCATGCTGGTGTAAAACATTCTATCGGGGAAGGCGTTCCCTGCGCAGACATTTCATCTGTGACTTCTGTCCGCGCATTTTCAACGAAATCCTACAAATTCTGCGTATTTTTCATGAATTAATGCATATATTTCGTCTACTTTGTGTCGAGAGGAAGCTTAATACACAAAAACAGAATTTAGTATTGTAAGTGACGGCCTACAGGCTATGCATTAATGCATACAATACAGTCACTCATTCTCAATTGTTCTGCCTTCACTTCCGCGCAATTAATGCGCCAGGGAGGCATTCATTGCGCAAAAATAAAACTTGCATTACTCGGGTATTTAATTATTAAACTGTAAAGTATCCACGCAAAGCATGCGTCAAGTAGACCTTTAAACAATGAAAATATTACTCACCTAAACACACTTTACAAAAATTATGAAAGCAAGTCAAGCTTCGCGGTTCCTGTAGGGTTTCCAAACACATGCAACATGTGAGTAGTTCGTTGATTTCGTCGGCAGGAACACTTTCTGATGAAGCACTTGCCATTTCAATTAAATCTTTCTTACTTCACAATTCAAGATAACATATTTGTGTCTTTTCTCCAACGAAATGATGGCATTAAAATCTTGCCACAAATACTGTACTGCCAAATTGAAAGTGTTGCGTTCGTTTCGAATTGTGAAATACCCGGAAGACCGGAAACGTAAATATTCTTGGAATTAAGCCCGAGATTAGGCTGGGATATACCTCAATATAAAACTGGACTGATGACATTAAAGTTGGTTAGCTTTCGGGTAAATTCTTCATTTTTAGCCCTCCCTTTCTAACAACTCCCTTGAATTACTCCTTCTCGCTTTTAAGGCATATCTGTCGCGTACGACTAGTCGTATACAATTCTCATCCTGGCATCTGTACTGGAAATTTCGCCATAAAATGATGAACAGGAATATACGCCAGAATGACAGCTATTGAGGATACCCATGCCTCATGGGACTACAAATTATTCATATATTTTGTCTTGCAGAATTTCGTAGTTTTTAAGGTGCGTCGTTGACTTGCCGCACCGTATAGACCTTAAAGTTGATGTAAAGCCCGTAACGTAAATAAACGCTTTGTTTACATTTTTAACTCAGTGCTACAGTTGTAAAATATGATTAGATGTATGTTATACTGAATTTTTAACACTCTTCTGGTTCGCTATGCTTGTAAATTAATACAGGCTAGAGATTCAATTCAAGAAAGTTCGGAAGGTGCGAAATATTAACAAGATTCCGATAGTCGGGTCCAGGTCCCGACCATTGGAATGTAGGCCTGCGCCGAACGTATGCGCAGAACGGTCTTTACATCAATAATCGGAGATTATAACGGTCTTTATATCAATAATCGGACGAAATCGCAGATTCGACTGCGCATCCAATCTCGTTCCCCGAGCCTGCGATCCTCGGGAAGGAACGTGAGGCTCTGGGATAATCCGTTTCAGGGAGGAATCTGATTGGCCGAATTGGCCGTTGAAATGGAATGCGCAGTACAATCTTTAGCCAGGATTCCTTGCTTCCGGCAACGGATTATCACAGAGCCTCACGTTCCTCCCCGAGGATCGCAGGCTCGAGGGACGAGATTGCTGCGCATCGAAATAACGCGTTCTGCAAAGGGAACAAAATTGCTGTTGAACCACAACATCTACTTGATGCATTTCAAAGTAAGTGTTTAATCATTGTTTGTGTTTCATTTATAGTCACAATAGAATTCAAATTAAATAATTTTTGTACTACCATATATTTTGGCTACTGTGTAAAGCAAAATAAATAAAGGCACACCTAAGGGAATATATTTTCTAATTTAAAGCGAATCAACGGTACTGCGGAAATGATTCTGTTGCATATTCAAATAATGATTGAACAGTTGAATACTTTGATATGCATATTCTAATTATTGCAGTCTCAACTACATGTTATAGTTCGACTGCAATTTGTTCTCTGCGCAGAACGCGTCATATGGATGCGCAGACGAAACTCCGATTTATGCATAACAGTCCTTCCACTTGGGTTAGCAGTGGACAGGAAACCGTTGAGATTATATCATAATATTAAATCCGTCACATTCTTTACAAATCAAATTGTTAGGTGAATAAATCACTTGTACTATCCAGCAAATATCGTCTATTTCTACATCTCTTCTAATCAGTTAAAAACCGTTTTGGACACTACATCAGTGAGGTCTCTTGATGCGGCCAGAATGGTGCGACCTCATTAGTTATTCACTATCAAATTTAATTAAGAAGGAAAACAGGTCACTGATGACCAATTTCTACATAGACATTAAAAACTCATTAATAATTAGTTCTTTGTAGGTTTGCATGGCGATAAAACATACAACAATACTATTGTTTGTAGAAACACCACGTAATAAATTTACGTGGTGTTTCCACAAACAATTATAGTATTATATCATTAATAATTCATTAGGAAAAGACAATGGAAATCACTGCCGTGTATAGGTGGTTTTATAAGTAATAAAAAATCATGCTCATTCACATATAGTTCAGCTTTGCTTTCTCGGCTTAGACAACGTTTACTTTTAAAATGACTTCGTCAATAAACTCATCAGATGGGTCGTTTTTTAAGTACTACTTAAGGTGGCTCGATACAGTTTTCAAAAATTCAGGTGTTTAACACTTTGATATGTTCAAACTACGCATTTTTAGGATTTATTTAGCAGATATTGTTTTTTTTATATATTTTGATAACTCTACTTTCAAATTATATTAGTTTTAGTAACAGAGAGTTCGTTGCTATGACGACATATGTGAACGAAGTTCACTCCAAAATGGCCTATGGTTCCGCATAGTTAAAAAAGCATGGTGACCCCCAATTTTTTTTCGTGCATTATTTTACTTGGACGAAAAGCTAACAATTAACAAAATATAAAAAAATTCTGTAATGCCATTTTTTTGGAAAATGCGAAAATGTCATATTCTTCGGTAAATTTTTTTTGGCATTACAGAATTTTTTTATTTTTTGTATAATGAAAGTTTTTAGCAGTGCAATACAGCATGCAAAATTTCAACATAGGTCACCAGACAAAATAAAGAGATATAGCGCATTGTTTTTCTCAAATGGAAAATTCTAATGATGTCAGCAATTGACATAAAACGCTATAGAACACGCGCAATGGCGTGATATGGCGCGAGCAACTGCTCACGTCAGGTCATTTTGGAAGTTCTTTCATTTTGTTAATCAGTTTCCGCGACCTGCGCGACTTGTGCGCGTAAAAATGGTCACCCGGTTTTGAGTTCGCGATTCTTGAGCAGAGTTTTTGTGATAACTATATCGAGCCACCTTAAGATAGTAAGTTTAAGCGTATCATGATTATTGGGCTGAATTTGTTTTAAATCAACAGCACTGGAACTATCGTTTTGTTAAACCCTTCATATACCATATTCTTTTGTTTTCCTTGAATTCGCTGTTTAATAACCTCATGATCAATATTATTAAAAATTAAAATTAAAATAAAATTAAAATAAAATTAATAACCTCATGATCATTACCGCAGAGTGAAAACTGTGTTGCAAGTAATTGTCGGGTAAGATGCCCGCGATCTTTATGTTGAATAAAACTCCAATAGCCTTTAACCAATATATAATTTTACGTTTCATACTTTCATTGCAATTTTATACAATGTTATGGTATAATGTGTCTTCTTAAAATTGCTTTGAGACAGTGTATTAAATTTCTGAAGTGAGAGACTCGTCATGCTTTTACAAGAAGGGTATATGTAGAACATGATTATGTTGCCTCCTGTCTGGTCAACGGCGTGAATCCAAATGATGTCATAATGTATAATCCACGTAATGACATACATTTGAGATTATACACACTGCTCATGCGTGTTCATATAAAATTCAAGTAAATTTGTAAAATTTTACGAGCAAGGGTTCGGAAAAGGTTCTTAATCGCTTTTAACAATTTATTCAAAGTTTTGGACCCTGCTATTACTGTGTAGCGTTCCAATTCAACCCCCACCCTCTGCTCGCTAACATTTTTGGGAAAAATTAAAAATTTGCCCCAGGTCCTCGAATTTTTATGAGTGGCCCTGTTCAAAGCTGAATAAAAACATAAAACTTACACGGCGTCAATTACTAGCCAGATTTTCTCAAGTTTACTTTGACACGGCAGTCCAAATAATCGCTCAAGCTGTAATTCAGAAAGGTCATTTTCCGTTGGCGATCTCGCAAGCCAGACTCTCTACTTTGGCTTCCCTCACAAACACTCTCTGCTGGAGTGTGTTTGGAAGGGAAGTGGAAGTAGAGACTCTGGCTTGCGAGGTTGCATTTTCTAGTGAATTCAGACGTTGTCCATGGTGCCCTGATAATTTTGCCACCAAAAATGGCTGATTTCTTAGCGTGACGTAATATTCCCACGTGACTTGATATTAGCGTGACGTAATATACTTTTATATCGAAGGCTGTAAGATATTTAAGGTGAAAATTTTTATCACGGTTGATTTAAGATTTTGAAATCAATGATAGTTTTAAAATAACTGAATACTTACGTTATAACT